GGGGGAGGTGGAGGGGGCAAGGCTCCTTCTCCTTTGGAATTTGGGGGGGGGGCTTATTTCAGGTTGTTGACTCCCTGCCCATGCGGTGAGCTCTGGCAGAGGACTGGGTTCGAGTGCTGCCATCTCTGCCACTGAAATTTCTGGGATGTTCTTAGCATTTAAAACCATTTTAAAAAATAATAAACCTAACAACTACAAGCTTTCAGTGGCAGGCTTAACTCATGCGAGTCTTTCTGGGTTTTTGCAGGTCACCGAGCTCAATGAGCCACTCTCCAACGAGGACCGAAACCTCCTGTCTGTGGCCTACAAGAACGTGGTGGGCGCGAGGCGGTCTTCCTGGCGCGTCATCAGCAGCATCGAGCAGAAGACGATGGCCGACGGCAACGAGAAGAAGCTGGAGAAGGTGAAGGCCTACCGCGAGAAGATCGAGAAGGAGCTGGAGACCGTCTGCAATGACGTGCTGGCGCTGCTCGACAAGTTCCTCATCAAGAACTGCAACGACTTCCAGTATGAGAGCAAGGTCTTCTACCTGAAGATGAAGGGCGATTACTACCGCTACCTGGCGGAGGTGGCCGCAGGCGAGAAGAAGGGCAGCGTGGTGGAGTCCTCCGAGGCCGCCTACAAGGAGGCCTTCGAGATCAGCAAGGAGCACATGCAGCCCACCCACCCCATCCGGCTGGGGCTGGCCCTCAACTTCTCCGTCTTCTACTACGAGATCCAGAACGCCCCCGAGCAGGCCTGCCTCCTGGCCAAGCAGGCCTTCGACGACGCCATCGCCGAGCTGGACACGCTAAACGAGGATTCCTACAAGGACTCCACTCTCATCATGCAGCTGCTGCGAGACAACCTCACCCTCTGGACGAGCGACCAACAGGACGAGGAGGCCGGAGAAGGCAACAACTGAGAGCGGCCGCCGCCCGCCGGCGCCTCTGCGGCCCCCCGCCCCCGCCCCCCAGCCCCGAGCCGTCCCCATCGTCGTCGTCATCGACACGCCCCTCGCCACGGTCCCTTGATATCTAGTGCTCAACGTGTCTGTATTGTCCGCACAGCGACTCCAAGCTGCCCGCCCTCCCACGAATCAGGAAGCAGCCCCCGACAAGGCTTCATGGGCATTGCTGGATTGATGGATGGTTGGAGCCCACGGGAGCTCCCTCCCTTCATGGCTTGTGCACACAGGAGGCTCTTGAATGGACGTGTGCCTGTCGAGCTGGGAATCCCGGTGAAAGGAAGGAAGGAGAGAAGGGAAGAGATTGGAAGGAGAATCAGTCTACATTGGTCTTAAAAATTTGTCCCATTTCAGCTGCGCTAATAGTGTTTTGTTGAGCAGTGCGTCACCTGCATGCGGAATACGTTGACCCCCCCCCCCCCGCCACGGTCTCCGCCAACGGGAAACAGGTACAGGAAGCTGATGCACCGAGACACAAGCCGACCCCGTCCATCAGCTTACAACGAACTGTTGCAAATGTGAGGTTTCCGTAATGCCTTGTTTTTGCCTCTTTAAATTATGTGCACAAACCTTGTTTTCGATGCAATGCCTCTGAAAGTTTTGATACTTGTAACTTTTTTTTTTTGGTTGCGATTGTTCAGGAATCATGGATTTATTATTATTATTATTAATATTTTTTTTGGTAACTCTCTGGCCGTTGTCCTTGTGTATTCTGACAGCGAGTGCCGTGTGTCAGCCCATGTCAATCAAGGTGGATGATTGTGAAACACCAGACTTCTAAAATCAATGTTTTGGAATTCAGTGGATTAAATAAATGCTGCTTTGGGGATATTATCGCTACATGCGTGGTCTTGACTCATTCTTTCCTGCCCCATCTTGAGCATGCTTGCTTCCCCCGTCCCCTGTCCCCCATCCCCCACCCCTCGGGAGGAGGTCTTGTGCCAGCTCCAGATTGCGTGAGAGGCAGCATGTTATTATTGAGGGAGCCAGGCACTTGGACTTGGAGAGACCTGGGTTCAGATTCCACCTCTGACCCTTATTAATAGTTGTAGGACCCTGGGCAAATTACTGAAACTTCTCTTCCTTATTTATGTAGTAGAGGGTAATAGCAGCACCTGCGTCACTGGGATAAAACATGGAAAGTGCTTTGCCAGCCTTTAAGTGCTCTGTGAAAATGTCAGCTGTTCCTCTTGTACCCTGAGTATAAGGTACTGAGGCCTGAGATCACCATACATCTGGACTGGGAAGCCTTCCTGGGGTTGTGCTGTGGGCTCCTAAACCTGAGGGAGCCAGGGGAGGAAAGTGGGATGAATGAATGAATGCAGAATGATGGGATTTAAAATGGCCAGGCCCTTCAGAGAGCCACCCCAACCTCCTTTTGCAAAGGAGGAAACCGAAGCCAGGCTTGGGAAAGGGATTTGTTCCAAGTCTCACTCATAGTCGATGCAGAGCTGCTGACTTCATTGTGGTGTTCTGCACTAATCCTTCAACCCCCGGCCCTTTCTGGCCTCTGCCACCCTGTGGCAGCAAACTGTTCTGTTGTCCTTCCTCATTAGGGATCACTTGACATGCGTGGTCTTCTTTGGCGTTTTCAAAATCCTTATGAGGCAGTGAGTACTGCAGATCTGACACTGACTTACTCACACTTCAGCCAAGGAACCCATCGTCTGTTTTGGCTGCTGATTATAATAGACTTTGGGGTCTCTGTGAGGTTAGACAAAGACACTGCCTTCACCTTTATAAAAAGGTAGATATTCCTGTTTAAATTCTGAAAGTGTTGTAAGTCTGCCAGCTTGGCTACAACTTTGACATCTCATCCTAAATGGGGGTCTGAGCTCTCTTTTTGTTAGGGTTAATGCTGTTTCTTTATTCTTTGGTAGGACAGGAGATTATGTAGGGTGTCCCGTAAGTCTTAGTGCAGCTTTAAGCTTTAACAAGCTTATAATAAACTTAGACCTACACTAAGCCTTGGAACACCCCGTGTCTCTGTATTATCTTTGGCGATTTGATCGCAGTGCTACATCATCACATTGATAGGTAGGGTAATGGATTCTTTGTTCACAATAGCCCCCAAAGACCCATCTGATCATAATTATAGCAACTGAAATAGCTTATTAATGTCTTATTGGAGCTCCATAGCAATACCGAGGTGGGTGTTGGTGATGTACCCATTTTGGAGATGAAGAAACAGCCTGAGAGAGCTTAAGTGACTGGCCTTGGGTTGCGTAGCTGGATTCCAACCCAGGTCTTTCTGACTCCCAAGCCCCTCACATGATTCACTACATTACACCACTAAGTCAGAAGTTGTAAGCTGCACATGGATGTTTCCTTGAAGGCAAAAGGGAATGAGCTGCCACAATCCAGCCCCTACTGAGAAAGACCCCTGGTTGGTGTGGATATTCCTCCCACTCTCACTGGCCCAGCATGTGTGACTTGCCTGTGTTCTCCCACAAATTCATTACAGGTCTGCTTTATTAATTTTTTTTAAATCAATGAAAATTCACTTTGCCCTCCATTGAGAAAGAAAAAAAAACAAACTCTGTTACAAATGTAGTCAAGCAGAACAAATTCCTGTATTGACCATCCTCGCCCCACCCTCTTCCCAGGCCTCAATCTGCACTCCATTCTGTCTCAATTAGCCTATCATCTATCTCCCCCAGGTTAGCCTGTTTAACTGTGAGTCCTCTGGAATTATGGTTGGTCATTTCTGCCCCAGTTTTTCTTGACTCATCAGTGGAGCATATGGTCTACCCATTGATTTATCTGCTCTACCTTATACATCTCTTTCATAACAGATTCTGCCCATAGGCATTTGAATGTTAAGAAAAGGGAAAATTTGCATTTAAAATCTGAGTGCCCAGTGGTGCCCATCGGCTTAGGAATTGCTTAAGGTTTCAAAGAATGGCAAACCAATGAAGTATCTTAATCCCTCTCCCAAATAGTTAAAGCAATGGTCATGCTCCCCCTCTCTTAAGTTCAGAACTGAATATGGTTTGGTATAGGGTGCCCGTGGATTGTTTGGCTAGACAGAAAGAGTCTCATGCCTGAATGTTGCCTTAGAAGAGTGTCCCTGTGGAGTGCCCTGGGGATCCCTCCAAGCTAAACTTCTCCCAGTCACGGAATGTCACCTTTCCAACATCTCAAGCAAGTGGTTATCCCATTCAGCCTTTTGTGAAAGGGTAATTTTGGGAGATAAATTCTGGGGCAGGTAGGTGGTGGAGGATAGAGCTCTGGGCCTGGAGTCAAGAAGACCTGAGTTCAAATGCCCCCCTAGCCAAGGCACAACCCTATTTACCTGCTTCCTCGTCTGCGAAATGAGCTGGAGAAGGAAATGACAAACCACTCCAGCATCTTTGCCAAGAAAACCCCAGATGGGGTCATGAAGTGTCAGACGTGACAGAACGATAAAAATGGGAATTCTTGTCCAGGAAGATCAGACTAGACTCCTCTGCAGTTCCTTCAAACCCTAAGATTCCATGAGTTATCTCCTCTGCAAACTACTGTTAATACAGACCAAAAAGCAAATTGACTTTGAGATCATCTATTTAGAACTGGACAGACTCTTAGAAGCTAGCCATCCCCATCCCCATCCCCATCCCCGTCATTTTATAGATGTGGAAATTGAGGCCCAGGAGGTTGTGACTTGCCCAGGGTCACATGGAGTAAGAGGTAGAACCATAATTTAAAGCCAGGTCCTGTGACATCAATACATTTTCCCCTATGCCACACTCATCCCTACCAATCACACAAATGAAGGATAAAGGTGAGGTGTTTTATCACGCATTTCCCACGAAAAAAGACCTGAATTCTTGCAGGCCTGCAGTGGCAACTTACGTCAACAGTGTGATTGGTGTGTGTTTTTGTTTTTCGCACTTAAATTTAAATTTTCATGTTTATTTTTATGGGAGAAGGCATAGAAAGGGAATAACGAGTCATGCGTGAGATAATAATGGCTAACAGTCCTTTAAGGTTTACAAAGCTCTGTAGACACACATGCGCACACACACACACACACGCACAATCTCTATCATAGACGTAGATCAAGAGGGAACCTTAGAGGTCAGCTGTTTGGTACATTTTACCAAGTGGGGAAACTGAGGCTGAGCTGCAGTTCTTTGCTCAAGGTAGCAGCTAGTAAGTGGCAGAGCCAGAATTTCAACATTTTCCATTGTGCCATGCTGTCTCTTTATTTAAAAACACAGAACCCACCCCCACCCCAAATTCAACCAAAGAGGTGCATGACTTGGTCGTTTCAAATATAGCTTCACTTATATAAGCTGGTGTGTATTCAGTTCAGCCAGCGCCAGTCAAGTGGATTGTCTGAGTCATCCCATCTGGAGCACTGTGTCCAGTCCTGGGCACATTTTAGCTTGGAATTTAAGAAGTCTGAGTCTTTTTCAGACAAGAGCATTCAGGATGGCAAGGAGTTTGGAAGACACGTCCTAGGAAGGGGTTGAAGGAACCAGGAAAAGTTCAGTCAAGAAAAGCAGATTTTTAGAAGTGGAGAAGGGAGGGGAGATGGGTTTGAACACCTTTCAAGAGGAAGTCGATTTGTTTTGTGTGGCTGCAGAAAACCTCAACCAACGGGGTGGGAAGTCCAGGGGGACCTTTCAGATATTTAGGAGGCAACCTTCTGGCACAGGGGCAGTTCAGTCCCATGGGGAAGTTAGACGAAAATGACCCCTCATAAGGTTCTATGGTTTTCCCATGGACTGTGCTAGCTCTTGTGAGAATACAAAAGGAAGGACAACTCTTTTACCCTCAAGGAATTTATAATCTAGTTGGGGAGAAAAGTCCACCACCCTAGGAAATAACTCAGGAGCCCAACAGGTAGGAATCAGCCTTACAGATTGATACAGTGTTTTAAAAATTTTTTTCAGCGATCAACTAGCATTTATTAAGCACCTACTATGTGCTAAGCACTGGAAATACAAAAAGCAACCCCCCCCAAAAAAACCCCAAAACAACAGTCTTTGCTTTCTAGGGAATCAGTCTAATGATTAAGCATTTTTTCTCCTTACCTTTCACCCCAGAAAAACAAACAAACAAATCCTTGTAACGAAATGCACAGTCAAATAAAATAATTTACACGTTGGCCGTATCACGAATGTGTCTCATTTTTGCATATTTAGTCTGTCATCTCTCTATCAGGAGGTGGGCAGCATTCTTCCTTAGTGGATCAATATAAAGTGTTAACCTAGAAAATGGACAGTATACATTAAGGTTCCCCCTTGTTCATATGTGAAGAGCCCTGGTTTTGGAGTCAGGAGGGCCTGGGTTCAAACCCCATCTCTGTACTTTATTAGCTGTATGACCTTGGGCAAGTCCCCTATCTTGAATGAGAGGGTTGGACTAGATGATTTCAAAGCTCCAAATTAGCATGCTAGAATCTTGATAAACAGGAAACGATCAGTGTGGTCTGGAATCAGGGAGGGTTTTCTGGAGAAGTCGGGATTTGAGCTGAATTTTAAATGACACATTCAACCAGCATTGGTTGTCTCCATAGCACACGTTTGGGCTTAAAATATATTGATGGGATCCATGAAGGCTGGACACGTGAATTGGGGAAATTTTGGAGAAAAACAGAGAAAATTAAGTTTTCATATTAAAATTTTCTGCATATTAACATGTTGCTGCTACTACTACTGTTTCTCCTTCGTTCTCTAAAAGGACCACGACATCAGGGAGGTGAAGCCAAGACATTCAAGTGAATTGGATTTAGGTGAGGAAGGGCTGTGCAAAGTCACCAGCCTCACTCTCTCCTCTGAAGCCCTCTGAGTTCAGTGGTCAGATAAAAGTCGGGATAACTGGAGATGGCTCTGGATGCAGTGGGAGACCTT